CTGGTGGTAGGACCTTTAGTGGTCCGCACGGGTAGGTACCACCACTACGCATATTTCTGCCGTGAAGCAGTAATGCGTTTCGGCTTGAAGGGTAGGGCAGCCGTTGTAACTAACTATACTGAGACCTTAGAACTCATATCTCAAGGTGGGTGGCGCATTTACGTTGTAGATATCTATGGGCTCCAGTAACCATTTAACACCAGGTGGGCTTTGAACTCGTCCACCTATCTAAGCAATAAATAAATAAATTATAAGCCGTTACGCTTCGCTGTAAGATTATAAAAATATCTGAAATAAATAAATTAATTAACAGAAAGAAATCGCACGTCACCTCTTATTGGAATACTAGAAAGTTTATTATAACTGTCAACATGGACGTACAGAGTTGGTTAAGCTTGCAGCTATTGATTTTAAAAACCATTACAGAAGGCTTAACATATCGTCTTTTCGCCTTAAAAGTGTACAATTTCCAAAAATATTCGAAATTGAGTTAATATGCGGAATCATTTTTATCACCAGTATTTTTCTCATAAATGCTGTCACAAGAGCGTAGTTTAGCTATAGTTTTTTTTTTTTAGTTTATTGTACTTTATTTTGACTACCATTAAAAAAATGAGTACATAATTTTATCTTACTTTAAAAGACAGATAATGTAACTGATAAAAACTAAAAAATAAATGTTGCAAAGATGATTAATATTAAAAATATCATATTTTAAACCTTTTTAAACACTCTCCTGTAAAATTTAGTAAGTTTTAAGAATATCTATATATTAATACGTGAAGCAAAAACTTTGTATCCCTTTTTACGAAAATTGCGCGGATGGAGGAGTATGAAATTTTCCACACTTATAGAGAATATAGAGAAGAAGTGCACAATGCTAATATTTTTTTAAAATAATGCATAAAAGATACATTAAATCAATAAAGAAAACATTACACACACTACATACCATGTATTTGACGCACACATGCATGCATACTATTTATTGTCAAACTTTTGTTCTTGACGTCTGTTGTCAAATTGAGGATAGATTAAATATTGTTTGTCTTTGTTAATATTTTTATAGTGTAGTCTTGGCGAAACTTGTGATTATAGAAGTATAAAATACAATCATAATAGTGTACCAACTTACAATTCCAATTAATTATAGTCGAATTTCGACTACTGCGGGAACTCTAGTACAGTTTTAATGCGAGAAGACGATATAATCATTTGACAATGAATAGAGATTTTCTAATGTATTAATTTATTACAGAAAGAGTGTGTAACGTCGACGTCTAAAGTGATAAATCGCCATTTACAAATACCTATGTTATTTCAATGAATTCTTCAAAACAAAACAAACATTTACGAGAACTCGTAAAGTTGTTCGTAAAACATCTAAATCTTGTTCACATGCTAAAAGTATAAGACGACGGCCCGTTTGGAAAAAGAATAAACACGTGAAATTACACAGAAGAAAAATATCTTACGTATTGAAATTTTAAGTGTTACATTTTATGTGAATGCCTCTAATATATTTTTTTAAACACAATAACGTTCATTATTTGGATATGTATTTTGGACATTTTTTTTGTTTTGTTTTTTTTATTGCTTAGATGGGTGGACGAGCTCACAGCCCACTTGGTGTTAAGTGGTTACTGGAGCGCATAGACATCTACAACGTAAATGCGCCACCTACCTAGAGATATAAGTTCTAAGGTCTCAAGTATAGTTACAACGGCTACCCTACCCTTCAAATCGAAACGCATTACTGCTTCACGGCAGAATTAAGCAGGGTGGTGGTACCTACCCGTGTGGACTCACAAGAGGTCCTACCTAAACCATGTCTCCGAATAAAAAAATAAATATCTTTTACCGCCATGGCTTAGTAATAGTTTAAAAATGTATTAGTCTCTTATTTTAAATCGTTTTATTGATGTGTATTATTACAACTGGCGACGACTCTGTACCAGGACACAGTGTAGCAGTCACAAGTTCTATTTATGTGTCAGTACATAAATCAAGTTCCATTGAGGACTAACCGCATAAGACTACACATATCATGTACACAATGCTGTGTTTGTTCAAACGTCAAAGACAGCAACATGCTATCAGTGCTAACAGCCACTTTGGTCGTCCAAAAAAGAAAAATAGAAAATAATTTTATTAAATACCAAAAGCAGAATGTTATTTATTTTTATTCTTTTTTATTTATGAAACCAACAGTACAAAATAATCACATATCAGTAGAGAGTGAACAAGAGAAAAAAAAGAGAAATTTAGAAATTTAAGTTTACACAAAAAAAAAAACAGAAGCAACTCAATACGCACATATTATTATATACATCAACTTATACTATATAACTTAATAATACTCATCGGACTAAATCTATATATATGTTAACGGAAATGTATGTAATCCGTCATTGTATACAATTCCTAGGAAATGTATGTAATTAATTCCTAAAATCACACGGAAATGTGTGAAATAAATTATATTATACTTACACATTACACAATTCCTAGGAAATCTATACATTTCCTAAATAGCAATCGGAAATGTAAAACATTTAAGATATTGGTGGGTACGCGGGGACAGCGCGACGAGTCTTGCACTACGGTCAGTTGCCAACTTGCAATCCACTGGAACCGGCCAGGGATTTAAGAAGTGCCTTTGCATAAAAAACTGTGCTACATCAAGATGTCTGTGTTTTAAAAATAAAGTATTATGTACTTCCAAATGCCGTTCGAGCTTACCCTGCAAAAATAAATAGCTATATGGACTGACAAAGTATTATCATATAAAGATTTACTTTTATACTTTGACATTTATAATTACTTAATTATCAGACTGATTACTTGCCAAATGAAAATTTGATTTTATAAGAATAAATATAAGTTGATTTTGTGATACGTTAAAAGTTAACAGATAGTTGATTTTAGAAGTTTTAATTAGTAAGATAATATGAATATATTATTATTATTTTACGGTATGACTGTTACCCGATCGTCTCAATAAGTGTTATAATAAAAAAATATTATTAACAACGTGTTTGATTACAGAAAGCATTTACTTTATACATTTCCTAATACGATATTGGAATTATATACAATTCCGAGGAAATTTATACATTTCCTAGGATATCTATGCATTAAATAGTTTTTCAAACAATATTTTATACATTTCCTAAATAGTATCGGAATTGTACACATTTCCTAGGATTTGTATACAATTCCTTGATTTCATACATTTCCGGTAACATATATATAAATAAATTGCTGTTCGTTAGTCTCGCTAAAACTAGAGAACGGCTGGACCGATTTGGCAAATTTTGGTCTTGAATTATTCGTGGAAATCCAGAGAAGGTTTAAAAGTTGAATAAAATATGAAAATGCTCGGAATTATATAAAAATAACAGTTTTGTTTTTCCTTCGATGTGTCCCCCGTTGGACGGATTCTTTTTGTTTGTTTTAAGTTTATTTTACACAAAAGTTTAGGTCTTTTATTTATGGATTGAAGCACTACGAAGTCTGCCGGGTTAGCTAGTCACCTTATAAATATTCCAAAATAGCTTTTCTTTATGTTACAAGTGACAAACATAACATGTCTTAGCACGCTGTGCAAAGCATATTATACTTTAACTCCTACATAATCAAGGTAAGTAGCACCAAAACATTGCAGTCTTTTGCGCAAAAAACAAAGTAAAAAAAAAACAATTGCAGCGATAGGTCGAGAGTTGCATCCAAAAATGTCTGTTGCTCTAAAACACCCTTTTCGAATCAACGAGATGCATTTCATGTTCACATTTACGATGGATTCAAAAGCCGGGACTTGCTTTGCCTAAATGCTAGGTCTTTTTTGTTTAAGCCATAAACACGGGAAAGACCTGCAAGTCTGTTTTTTAAAAGTCATGTTTATGTTTCTTAAAGTAAAATATGTTCAAAACTTTATCAAATAAAGTAACAAGAGTGTTAAGTTTATCTGTGCCAATATACCTGTCGATCATAATATAATAATGTAAGTGTGGAGGTCAACAAGATAGTGTTACATATCAAGCCCGTCGTGTGAGTCTTTTTAGAACTGCCTAAAACATTAACAAATATAACCCCGCAAATGTTCTATTTTTCTAAAATCTGCCGTGGGAATTCAAAGTTTTTTTACCTTCTCCTCTTAATATTATATCTACCATGTCATTGTGGAAATACAGGAAAAACGATCATAGAAAATAAAAAACAAATGCAAAAAAGTATGTAATGATTTATATATTTTATTTTTGCTTTTTAAATATTTCAATATTTTTTAAACTAGTATTTCGTCTTTGTGAATACTCTTGGTTGAGAACAAACATGACAGCGTTATTTAAATATTAGTGAAGCTACCAGTTTCTTTAAACCACTCCCGCGTCACCCTGTCATAAATGAATCGTACTGTTATAATATCCTTTTGTAATACTGTTAATGTGCTTAACAAGCAGCACATGTTATATTCTTTCATCACTTCACCAATTTGCTTAGACAAGCAGTATCCTCCTCCTCCTTCAGTCGATCGCTCATTGCTGAGCATCGTGATGCGCCCGCTTGTGACCTTTTTTTGTAATTTTTAGCCACTTATGTCGGTAAGTTGCACAGTGAAGTGCGTGGCTCAGTCTCATGTCCAGGTACTCAGACACTTGGTCACTCCATCTTTTTCGGCTACGACCTCCAGATCGTCTTCAACAAGCAATATAGAGTAATATAAAAACCGAGGCGGCCTCGTGGGCGTCAGTGTCATCATGTCAGTGCCAGTCTCGGTCATCGTGCCAGTCTGAGTCACTGTGCCAGTCTCAGTCATCGTGCCAGTCTCAGTCATCAGTATCTTTCTTAGTCTCAGTCAGTCACAGTCACAGTGCAGTAAAAGCCAGCTCAGTCATAAAGTTCAGTCGTTTCGCGTAGTATCAGAATATAATAGAAGAACTGAAACAGAGATGTTAATAAAATTTGAATTGTTTGAATAAAACTGCGTTGCAGAGAAGGACTTGTGTTTTTGAAAGAGACTGACGCTAACCGCCGCCTTACAGTACTATCCAATAGCCTATGTACTATTCTGATTAATAGACACGTAAATTGTGAAGTGTTTTCAAGATCAGTCTCGGACAATATTGCGGTTGTTTTATTTAAAAACATACACAAATAAATGCAGAAGAAAAAGGGGCTTACTATAACTGCAGTATGTTCGAGTTCACATCAACCCAATGAAACTACCCTTTCGATTCTGAGCTAAAACCAATATTGTATTCTATACAAAATAAAATGTCATAAACTAACACTGTGCCAACCCCAACTAGAGTAACAGGGGTAAGAAAAAAATAATAATATTTATTCCGTAGGTAATTCTAATTTCGGCGTTTTAGCGTTACAATAAGAAGGTTCTACGTATGAAATTCTTTCGTTCGGTGGCAGAATATCGTAATTTTCAACAAAGAAATGGTGAACCGAAGATCTTCTACGTGGTATAGTATGATATACATTATTATCTTCCATTATTTTTTTACTATCACAATTCAAAGGTAAAGGGGAAGGTAATTCATCATAAGAACCCATAAAAGATGAAGCACTGGTTAAGTCGCATGCCGATCTTGATAATCCAGCATTTGATTCTTTTTTTTTAACGAGCATAGGCCATTGTTGTTCTGTTCTAATTTCATGTGAACTTTTAACCTTCAATAACTCATTATTTTCATGCTGAAGTGTTTTAAATGCTAAATTTGAAACATCGCTTTTTGTTAAATGATTCGGTACAGTTTTATCATTGTTTTCGTTCACACCAGTGACTAAAATAGTTACAATAGCATCGTCCGAAAGCCTTTTTGAAGTTAAAGGCATATTTGTGTCATTAATTTCAGTGCCACTGTGATTATCTTTCGAGTCATCAATACGTTTTGAATTGCCTGAATCACTTAATATTGACACGTTTTCTATCATAGTTTTTTTTATAGATTCGCCTTTTATCTGTTCCGATATTTCATTTAAAAGTACAATGTCTTTTTGTTTTTTCAGTTCAAATTTTTTTCTCAATTCTTCAGATAACATTGACTGTAATGGATTTTTCGATGCATCTATTAACTGTAATGAGGACTGAGCCTCATTTAAATTTGCTAATGTATCAGTTTCATTCACTTTTAACAAAGATAATGTCGATGTACTGTGAATATGTATATCATAATTACTCATATCCTGTTTCAAAGATTTCAGTTTAACGTATTTTTCTGTTGTACTAGATATATTCTGTCCTATTGTTGTATCACCGACATTATTATCCGAGTTTGAAATAGCTGTTTCTTTTCTATTGTTTTTTAACTTGTAAATAGCTATACCAAGACAAATTATTATAATACACAATATGATTATAGTGATAGATATCAAGACAACTCCATAAATTGGTATATGTACTCCTTCCGGATCTGTAAAATGAAAAATTCCAATTAATACACTGTTGGGGTTATTTCAATTGAGATTTCTTGTTCACTATTAAGTGATTTAATAATATTACAATGAAGTAGCCCTGAACAACATATTTGAGCAGTTATCCCAATATAAGTGAGGCTTCTATTTAAAATTTCAAAATGGGAGAAAGTACTACCCTTGCTGTAAAAAAATTTTTTTGATAAAGTTTAAGAGGCTGTGGTCTGTACAACTACGTATAGTTGGTATAACTTTTTATTAGAGCTCTCCCTTTCCCGTGCCGCCGTCTCCTTTTGCGAGATGGTCATGCATCTCCTGCCAGGACTCGTCGCTACCGAGTATCGCAGTCACAACGGTCGGAAGCGACAAGTCCGGTTCTATTTTTGCAACGAGGACGCGGCGCTGCTCCGCGAAAGCGGGGCAGTACGCGAGCGTCTGCTCCGCCGTGTCCTCGTTACATCCACTTCAGTAGTGGCCTAGTGGCACTATGCTGTTGGCTTCCCCTGGGCAACGAGGTGCAGTTAGCGGCGGAAACAGCCCGTGAGCACCTGCGTCGCCTGGAAGGTGAGACGTCTTTGGTCTCGATTCACCCAGAGGACCAAGCAGATTACTTCGACGGTCCGTCGCCCGTATACCAGTTGGCGAGACCACGCCTCAAGCACGGCATGTTGAGATTGAAGCTTCCAAGTTTGAACTGCCGTCGCGGCAGAACGCGGACGCCTCTGATCACGAGGTGGGCCCCCTGAGCCGACGCTCTCCGGGCCCCGTGAAACAACAGGGTCTGAAATTTATCGAGCGCCACCTCCAGATCCGGTCTTCGGATCCTCCCGATGAAGAATGTCACCTCCGCGCAGGAAAGACGGGCAGACTCCCGCAAATCTTTCCCCCGGGCTACGACCAAAGTGTTGTCCGCGTAACAAAGTACCTTCAGACCCGGGAGAGGAGTACGAAGGGTACCCCGCAGGACGCAGTCGTAGCCGATGTTCCACAAGAGAGTGCCAAGGACTGTGGAACACCGCGCTCGACGGGGAAGCGGAGCACCGCCCCACAGTGTCCGGTGCACACGACTGACCTGTCCTCGAGGTAGGACCCGGTCAGCCGACGGAGATACGCAGGGTCGCCGTGATACTCCAGCGCTCGCTCGTTTACCGACCAGGGCAGGGTGTTGAACGCGTTGGCTATGTTCAGGGACACCGCCAACCCCTCCCCGGCTGACAGCCTCATCAGAGAGGGCGCGTACGCGCTTCACCGCGTCGACGGTCGAGCGGCCCTCTCTGAATCCGAACTGCTCTGCTGATAGATCGGGACCAACCCCTGTCAGGTGCTGGAAAATGCAGGCGGCCACCAACTGCGCCAGCCGTTTTCCCGCCTTGTCCAGCCACACGGTGGGGCGGTAAACTGCAGGTGAGTCCGTAGTCTCCTTTCTCAGCAGAACAAGTCTGTCCGTCTTCCACTGCTTCGGAAGCCGTCCCGCTTCGAGGCAGGCTTCAAAGAGCCGCACGAGCCGGTCCCCAAAGGCACTGAACGTCTAATCCCATACCCGACCGTGAACACCGTCAGTGCCGGGGGCCGCATCCTTCCTACGCATCCTCGACACGGCCGCACGGATAAGAAGTCCGGTGCATTTGTATCTAGCGATGCAACGGTGTTCGAATCATACCAATTTTTCTAATGAAATACGTACTAAACAAATCGTCTTCTCGCATTAAAACTGTATGATCTCAAAACTTACTAATTTTACAGGAGAGTGTTTTAAAGGTTTAACATGTGATATTTTTAATATTAATCATCTTCGCAACATTATTTTTTTTATTTTTTACCAGTTACACTATCTGTCTTTTAAAGTAAGATAAAATTATGTATTAATTTTGTTAATACTAGTCAAAACATTGGTAAATTAAAAAGAAAACTATAACTAAACTCGCTCTTTTGACAGTATTTATGATAAAAATATATACTTAGTCTGGCCATAAATACTGTTACAATTAAAAATAAACAAAATATTACATTTGAATTTGGAATCTGTCATTTTTATATGATTGCTCATTGAGTTTTGTCATTTTGGCGCCAATACATTATACAATATTTTGCGATATTAAAATGGAGTGGGGTGATAAAGAGAACCGAATCGCTGTGATTGCATTTTACAAAGTAGGTATGGAGCCAAATGCAATTTTTAAAACTCTCCATACGCTTGGTATTAGTAAAATGTTTGTGTACCGGGCTATTAATAGGTGCAATGAGACCTCCTCTGTTTGTGACAGAAAAAGATCTGGCCGCCCACGTAGTGTTCGTACGAAAAAGGTGGTCAAAGCAGTAAGGGAAAGAAATCGAAGAAATCCTGTCCGAAAGCAAAAGAGTTTATCTCGGGAAATGAAGATAGCACCTAGAACCATGTCGCGTATTTTAATAGATGACTTAGGACTTGCACGTACTGGTTATTTCTTAACTGATAATTTAAAAGAGAATAGGGTCGTAAAATCGAAATAACTATTGAAGCGGTACGCAAAGGGAGGTCATAGAAAAAATTTGTTTACGGATGAAAATTTTTTTACAATTGAGCAACATTTTAACAAACAAAATGACCGTATTTATGCTCAAAGCTCTAAGGAAGCTTCCCAATCAGTCGACAGAGTGGAACGTGGGCACTATCCGACTTCAGTGATGGTTTGGTGGGGTATTAGCTATGAAGGAGTGACTGAGCCATACTTTTGTGAAAAAGGTATCAAAACATCGGCACAAGTGTATCAAGATACCATTCTTGAGAAGGTACTGAAGCCCCTTAACAACACCATGTTCAATAATCAAGAATGGTCCTTCCAGCAAGACTCAGCGCCAGGTCATAAAGCTCGGTCTACGCAGTCTTGGTTGGAAACGAACGTTTCGGACTTCATCAGAGCTGAAGACTGGCCGTCGTCTAGTCCCGATCTTAATCAGCTGGATTATGATTTATGGTCAGTTTTAGAGAGTACGGCTTGCTCTAAACGCCATGATAATTTGGAGTCCCTAAAACAGTCCGTACGATTGGCAGTGAAAAATTTTCCCATGGAAAGAGTGCGTGCTTCTATTGATAACTGGCCTCAACGTTTAAAGGACTGTATTGCAGCCAATGGAGACCACTTCGAATAAGCTTTTTATACTTTAAATTGTTTTATATTTATGTATTAAACTAACACACTGTAAAAGTAATAAATGTTATTTGCAATAGATATTTTGTTTATTTTTAATTGTAACAGTATTTATGGCCAGACAATTTTTTTTTTAATGCTTAGATGCGTGGACGAGCTCTCAGCCCACCTGGTGTTAAGTGGTTACTGGAGTCCATAGACATCCACAACGTAAATGCGCCACCCACCTTGAGATATAAGTTCTAAGGTCTCAAGTATAGTTACAACGGCTGCCCCACCCTTCAAACCGAAACGCATTACTGCTTTACGGCAGAAATAGGCAGGGTGGTGGTACCTATCCGTGCGACCTCACAAGAGGTCCTACCACCAGTGCAAATACTGGTGATAATAATGATTCCGCATATTAACTCAATTTCGAAGTTTTTGGAAATTGCACACTTTTAATGCGAAAAGACGAAATGTTCGCGATTGCCTTCCACGGTGAAGGAATAACATAGTGTGATAAAACCATAACTCTTATGTCATTGAAATAAATATTCGTTATGGCAAGAATAAAGAACAACCAATACCAACTTTTTTGGTATTTGTGTTGTAATTAATCGTCAAAACTATCGAATAAATTCTCATTCTTAAGTACAAACCTGTCTTTTGCGTTTGTGCCTTCGTAGGTGATTTCGTAGAGCCCGTAATTTCAGAAACTCCGTTACGCACATTACTAAGAATTAAAATTAACAAATAAAACACATTCAGTTTGAAATCCATTTACGTGACGCCACCACACATTTGTATTATAAAATGACATGTTTTGACAAGTAATACTTAATTAAATTTGATTTAAGGAAAACTTGTCCTCGCATGTAACAATGTACTTCGGGAATAAATTTTGAACCTTATGTTTTATTCGCTTTAGAATGTATTTTGCATAAAATATATCATTAACGTTCACATTTCCTTGTGCAAATGATGATAATTACCGACTGTGACAGTACCACATACTATTTATTTATTCACCTTTTATGTAATGTTTCCTAATAAATTTATTTTTATTATGGAATTTTTACAAACTAATACATAAAATATTTTTATTTCCACGATGAATGTATAGTAGACTAGCGACCCGCCCTCGCTTCGCTTCGGAAACATTAAAACACAAATGAAACCAAAAAAAAAAAAATTTTTTTTTAAAAAAGTAGCCTATGTTCATCAGGGACAATGTCGGCTTCTAATGGAAAAATAATTATTCAAATCGGTCCAGTAGTTTCGGAGCCTATTCGAAACAAACAAACAAACAAATCTTTCCTCTTTATAATATTAGTATAGATATAGATATAGGGTACTAAAATTTACAGTAAATTCTGTAATTTTTTAGACTTTTGTGAGGACTTATTTATTGGTGGCTGCTAGAAATTCTACAGAAGTCGAAGAGGGCCGGCCAGAAATGCCCTCGCTCTGGTAATCGGTGTGGCACCAAAGTATCGGAATGGAGACCTCGTACTGGATGTCGTGACGGGGGCAGAAAACCAATAAAGTGGACCGACAATCTGGTCAAAATAGCTAGTAAGGACTACGAAAAGCAAGATACCGAAAAGAATGGAATACATATGAAAGACCTATGCTCAGCATTGGGTGGACACAAGTTGAACAGGAAGAAGAAGCAAGTCAAAGAGTCACGCTATTCTGCCGTGAAGCAAGCAAAATCCTATCTAATAGATAATAGGGGGTAATATATCTACAGTAGCCGTTACCGCATAGTCAAAGTGTCAGTATACTATCCCGTAGAAATTATATTATGTTTTTTCGGGATAAAAGATAGCCTAAGTCCCTATTCTGACTTATCATTATTAACAAACAAACCACTTTCACATACACATATGCAGGTGCAGATAAAATAGTTGAGCACTATCTACTATTTATTTTACTTTATTATTACAAAGTAGTTGAGTAAATGCAGTGCATTAAATTATTATAAGTGGCTGATGGCCGAGGTTATAGTGGAATTTTGACCAGTGAGCAAAGATTACTTAAAAGTCAATTGTGATTTTAAATTAAATTCTTCTTCTTCTTTGTCATATAACTTTTGTAAGAGCGGTCGTGGTCGTCATTCAGTATCATTGCTGTGGGCAACATGTGAGTTACATTAATGATACTAAAAAAGAACATCAAAATGTTATTGTTACGCCGGTAGGAGTAAAGCCATCTATCGCCAAATAGTCGAACGAATATCGAAGAATCTAGTAGTATCCAGAACGCTCGAGAAGTGCACCGCCATCTATTGTTAGAAAGCGGAAACACACAATACTAGACTTTTGTGGAATATTCTCGACGATTCTAGGGATTTTGTCTCGACTATAAAACGGTTTCAGAGATGGCACGTAGTTAGTAAAACTAGTAATCGGATCTACTCGAAGCGAAACAGCGAACGGATCACCTGAAGCGAAGCGGAACACGCCAATTGAGAGTTTTAAAGTGTTTTAAGTGTTGCATAAAGTTTTTAAATGTACTTTGGTGGAGTTTTATTTAACCCGAACCCCAGCGTATAACATTATATTATTATTATCTTTTTTTTTTTTTTTTTTTTTTTTTTTTTTTTTATGATTGAAGGATTACTGGTGGCCCGGAGGCCTTTCCAGTTTCACCAGGACAGGTGGGCGAGCAAAGGCTCAGCCAGGAGGGGTGGGATTTGCTAACAGCTGCCAGCTGCCCGAGCACCTCCGAAGGAGACCTAACAACTCAAGAGTAGCTGCTTCGCGAATGAATCTACTACCGGATCGGAATCGCGACCCGCTGAGAAGATCCGGCGAGAAACTCAGCGAGCTGATTCATGGGTTAGGTTGCACGGCGAACTCTTTGTCGAGTTCGACGAGTACGGTTACCGAGGTCCCTAAGCCTGCTCCTAGAGCTGAAGGCGTCTAGTGCNACCTGATGTGTTTACAATTTAGGTCGCCCGCCAGAATGACAGAGCTCCCCATGCCGAGCAGCGCCTCGATATCACTGCTTAGAACGATCTTATCCGGTGGAAGATAAACGGACGCGATAACGATCGGCGCGTGTCCCGTCAGTGAGATTCGGCACACTGATGCTTCGATATTAGCGAGCGCGGGAGGATCGAGCGGGATTTATTATTATCTATGACGCGATGAAATCCTTGCAGTTTTCTTAATCGTAGAGTCTCCCAGCGTACTTAACCTCAGAACTCACTCACAAAGTACAACTTTGTAAAGGAAGTCAACGTTATGAAAGCAAAACTTCAAAATAACGAAGGCTTTCATTAAAGTGCGTCGTCTAACATTTTCAAAGAGCTCTATCCAATCTTCACACAGTAAACCGACCTTACACGTGCAAGAAAACTTTTATAATAAAATGATCCTGGCAAACTTTCAGACACGCAATATTAAAAATAAAACTGAAAACATTTTTAAAAGTCGTCGTGGCCTAGAGGTTAAGACGACCGGTGCATTCGTGTTGAAGCGATGCAGCGGTGTTCGAAACCCAGGCGGGTCCCAGTTTTTCTAATGAAATACATACTCAACAAATGCTCACGATTGACTTTCACTGTGAAGGAATAACGTCATGTAATAAAAATCAAACCCGCAAAATTATAATTTGCGTAATTACTGGGGTTAGGACCTCTTGTGAGTCCGTGCGGGTAGGTATCACCACCCTACCTATTTCGGCCGCTTGTAAGTCCGTGCGGGTAGGTATCACCACCCTACCTATTTCGGCCGCGAAGCAGTAAAGCACTTCGGTTTGAAGGGTGGGACAGCTATTATACTGTTTTTAATTTTGGAATGGCTCCAAGTCAGGGACAGGTTTATAACTTTTGCAACTGAGTAAGAAGCCTCCTGGGGCGAATGGCAACATTTCTACAGCAAACAGCGGCAACACCGTGAAATGCTCAGAAAGACCAGACCGTCTCTATTCGTCTTTGTCTACTGCCATCACTAGCTCTAATCCTAAGGGAGATACATTGTAAAATATCCCTTAACAGTGACTACGGGCTCCTGTTACAACTCCACGTCAGGTGACATGTAACTAAGCACATAAATCAAAGCGCTAAACCGCTTCTAGTTTCAGAGTCAACACCGTTGCTATAATTATTAATCAAAAACTAGTTAATCTATGTATACATAAAAATGAATTGCTGTTCGTTAGTATCGCTAAAACTCGTGAGCGGCTGGACCGATTTAGCTAATTTTGATCTTGAATTATTTGTGGAAGTCCAACGAAGGTTTAAAAGGTAGATAAATATGAAAATGCTCGGAATTAAATAAAAATAACAAATTTGTTTTCCCTTTGATGTGTCCCCCGTCGGACGGATTCTTTTTGTTTGTTTTAAGTTTATCTTACACAAAAGTTTAGGTCTTTTGTTTATCGATTGAGGCACTACGAAGTCTGTCGGGTCAGCTAGTAACTTATATTTGTGGTAGTTCAAATAAAAGCCTTTTGAATATTTTTTTAAGGGTAAGACATACGTCATTAAAGTTTATAAACATGCAGTTCGTAGTTGCAACCTTCGTTTTCTTATCATCATCTTTTGCACGGCTTCAATTCAATTAGGGCTTAAACTTTGAGGTCGTTTGAAAACTGATACACTTTCTATTGCTTCTCAATGTGCATATATATGTCACAGTTATACTGTTTCATTTTAGTATTGTCAGCTTTGCTATTCACTATGTGTGAATAGGGTTGTGGAAATAACTAAGAATACTGAATAATTAATATTCCCAAGTTTATCGTAAAGAAAGCAGAGTATGATCCAGATATTCTGTAAAATAGAAATCATAATTTTGATTCTACAACCCTAATAATAAATTATTAATTTTATTCCTTAAAGTATTTTTTTTTTAAATTTAATCCGATTCAAATTGGAGCACATACTTGTGATGGCGCAGAATAATGACTGCAAAGTTTCATCGGAATATAATAAATTGTATACAACATTTTTGAATTATATTAATAATATTTAGGATGTTAGTTGAAATTACATTGGGCTTATAGATATTCTACTAGGTGTTTCTCCAATTACAGACAAAGTTACATCTCTTTTGATCGTGTGTTAGCTCAGAATATCATCACCACGTCAACTCACGCAGCTGTCGTAAATGGCGACTAAGGTATTCACTAGAGAATTCTCAGCAACATTCGTTGAGTATTTATTCAGCATGTTTCGATCGCCAACCAACGTTTAGGATGTTGTGAGCCAATATCGATGGCTATTACCACCCTACGTATTTCCACGGCGAAGAAGTTGTGTTTCGGTTTGAAGGCTTGGACAATTATTAGAGCAATACATTAGAGAATTCGATCCACACGTTTCGATTATAAGATAAGATTAATACGCTTAATGAAACTGCTTAATACCAGGTAGTAGGGCGTTTTGTGAACTCACACGGGTATATACCACTGTAGTGTGTAACCATTCAAGTATGTAAACAGCCTTATATAAAGTGCTTCTTCAGCACTACTGTCTTACTGTCTTGTAACTAAATACACCTTTTTACAGAATAAGCCGACCCTTCAAACTGAATGGACCTATTATTTCAATTCTTCTAATCCATCGTGACCAGACCACACCACACTACCACTCTTCCTGTTTCTGCTTTGAAGCAGTAATGCGTTTTAATTTGATTGGGTCAGGCAGCCGTTGTACTCTGAAAACTAAGACTTTCTAAGTCTCAAGTCTCAAGGTGGGTGACGGCATTATCGTGATTGATGTCTATGGGTAGGTCACCTTTCCATATACGGGATTAAAAAAACCACAA